CCCTCTGCTCAGGCCACTTAACCCCTTGCGCTGCAGCCAAAGCCGGCTGGGACCAGGGCTCTCAACCGGCTGTATTAGAACTGCTTGGAAGCCCCCAAATCCCGATGTGCAGCCCACACCCTAGACCAGCTGCATCAGCATCTCTGGAGTGGGGGTGGGGTCAGGCTTGCGGTTTTTTTTTTATTAATTATGGTTAGATATCCCTAATAACTTTACCATTTTAATCTTACGCGTACAGTTCAGTAGTAAGTACATTAGCATCATCGTGCAACCAATCTCCAACTTTATCATTTTCCCAAACTGAAACTCCGTGCCCATCAACTAACTCCTCACTTCCAGTCCCGACCCATGAGCCGCCATCTACTTTCTGTCTCTATGAATGTGACTATTCTAGGAGCCTCATGAGCAGTGTTAGTCTTTCTGTGACTGGCTTCCTTCAGTGAGCGTAACACCCCAAGGTTCAGGCATGCTGTAGTACGCGTCAGAATTTCCTTCCCCTTCAAGGCTGAATAATGTCCCACCATATGGCTAGACCACACTGTTTAGCCGTTCATCGCTGATGCACACCTGGGTTGTTTCCAGGTGTCTGTGTGTTTCAGGCTCCCAGGCCCCACGTGCAGGTCTGGTGCAGGTGGGCGGGGCATGTCCACGGCTCCGGGCACTGCAGCGCTGGGGGCGGCACTCTGCTCCTTCAGGCCAGCGGTGCTCTCTGCCCTTATCAAGTCCAAACAGAGCTGCAGGAGGCCCCTCCACCCCACGCTCCACCTCCACGCCCGCGGCCCGCCTGCCCTGCCGCCCAGCTGGTGCCCCCAGTGCATCTGAGCATCCTCCTGGGGACACCAGTCCCCGTCAGCGTGGCTCTCCTTACTCCAGCCTAGTCCTTACAACACAAGGCAGGCCTGCGGGTCACACACATGATTGTTGGGGGGGGGTCCCCTGCTGTAGCTTTTATTCCGCCACCTCAAAAGCTTGGAACCCGCTCTTCACCTGTTCTCAGTGTCCCCTCCCTGCCCGTCTGCTGGAGCCCTCCTTCACCTCGTGCAAAAGCCTTCTCTTTACTGCGTGGGGCGCATGGAAGGAGCCAAAGGAATCCATGCTTACAAACCAAAACTCAGTACAAGTGGTTTGACAACATCTTAACGAGTGTGCAAGTTATTCCTTTGTTCACGAATTTATTCAATAAACGCTTTGTGTTTTGACAGATCTTCATGGAAGGAATTTGGGGGGAGCATTCACCTAATACCACAGTAATATACGCCCAGCCCGGCGGTGCCCCTCCAACAGAACTTGTTGCAAGGAACAGGGCTGTAAGTCCGCGCACCTTCGCGGCCACGCTCTCCCGGGGCTGCTCCTGGAAAACACCAGAGCTGAGCCACTGCTGCCGGGTGCGGGCCTCCTTTCGCCGGCACTCCCACCAGACGCCCGCCCCATCAGCCTGGATCTCTCGGGATTCGAACCCGTGTGCCAACCTCCGGCGGCCCCGCCGGCGCGCTCCAGGCAGAAGGCCACGCCCTTTCTGCGGGGGCGGGGCCGGCCCGCCAACCAGAGTCCTCAGGGCATGCAAATTAGGCCCCGCCCT